ATTCTTCATGATTCTTCAGCCATCTTCAGCCAATTCATGGCTCTTTTATCTTACTCCCTTTTGGCCAAACTGTGCCTGGATTTTGCTGACTGGAACTGCAGAAGTGTAATGTGGCCCTAGAAAACATTTGTGATGGCTCAAGTGGTTAAGACGCTGAACTGCAAGCTGGAAGGTCAGTGGTTCAGCCGTTCGGCAGTTCGAGACCCAAGTGCCGCATGAAGGAGTGAGCTCCTGTCTCTGATTCCAGCTCCTGCCAACCTAGCAGTTTGAAAGCAAGAAATTGCAAGTAGATAAATAGGTACCACTTCGGTGGGAAGGTAACAGCGTTTAGTCATGCCAACCACATGACCACGGAAAACGTCTTTGGACAGCACTGGCTCTTCGGCTTGGAAGTGGAGATGAGCACCACAGCCCTAGAGTCGGATTTGACTGGCTTTCGAGCAAGGGAAACCTTTACCTTTACACTCCCCAAATAGATTACGGCTAGTAAGGGAGGGTTAACTCTTCCCCCGTGCATTTCCCTATCAAAATGACCCTCTTGAGCTTCTTTGAGCCTCAGTAGGGAAACAGGTACATATACTGTGCCTCCCCCCCGCCCCCTTAGAACAGGTGTGAGGAATTGAAGTCATATGCTGTTGTCTGAGGAAATGACATGGGAGAATAGCTATCACCCACTGCTGTACTCTGATCCATATTTCTCCCCTCCTGATAGCTGCTTCTTAGGTTCAGATTACATATCTGGTGGTCCTGTCATGACATTCCAGTGTCCCACATAATTTGGATACTTGTCTCTTCTGAACTAATTGCTGCTGCTTCACACAAAAATATATCCCCATCCTCTCCATGAAGAGGGTGTCACCATATCCAAGTTCTGATGAGGTTTATGTTTGTCAAGAGAGTATCTCCTTTCATTAACTCCCATTGGTGAAATACAAACCAATCATTCTGGGGCATTAGCCTAGCAAAGGAACAGTCAGCCAGCCGTCCTAACAATATGTTGTGTCTTCCTCTCCCAAGAGCACTCTATAATGGCAATGCTCTTTTGGCAGAAAAAAACAACCCTTTCTACAAAGTGGATCAGTGAACAAACTGGTTTCTGTCTGGGCTGGCTGCCAGCTTCTAAAAGTAATTTCTGTGTTATTTTGGCAGATATTCTATACTAGGGCTGTCATTTCAGTAATTAAAGAGCAAAGGATGCTTGTACTTTCAAAACACACATGGTATTCAACAGGATTACTTTTGAAGTCATTCTTTGACAGCAATAGTCTGACTCACCAGGATTAGGATGTTTTAACAAAACAAATGTAGATAGGAGATGAGAAAACACACTCTTACATATTTCTAGGGAACTAGGGATCCTCGTAAAAGTAAATGACATTACTTTGCAGATTTGAAAGTGAAACAAGCATTAGAATAATTAACTCATCTTTATTCCTTTCAACCATCCCTGTCCCTCCAGCCCCATTCCAAATGAAAAATGTAGTAGAAAATATAATCTCCTGAATACTGCTGTGTATCCATTGCTGGGGGTGGAGGGACAATTGTCCAGGATGAGAACAATATTTGATGTGACATGGGTATACAAAATAGTGCTAGGGAATGAGTAATGTCCTCCAAAGAAAGGTTAAAATTGGGAGGAAGGAAAGGCAATATGCCAGGGTTGCAGAGTTTAAATCAATCTGAAGGTTCACTTTACATTTTAATTAGAGGCTATTAATCCCAGATGGCCAGCTGTCTCATCAGCTGTAGGACAGCGTTTTTGTGACATTTTTAATTCACTGTTTCCTTTAGCCTTGTTTCTGATAACCTCCTTTTTCTATTTGCATCCTATGGTGTTTTGTCTTCTTTGCACTGTCACAGATTTCTCTGCACCTCCATCCAGTGGCGTACCTAGCCTATTCGGCTCCCAGGGCAGAACGTTTTTTTAACACCCCTCTCCTCTATATTTTTTTGCCATCATATCACAGCTGACTTATGATGACCTCATAGGGCAGTGGTATACCTAGCATGTTCGACACCCAGAGCAGATCATTTTTAACACACACACACCAAAATTATTTTCAGTAATAATCATGAAATAAATGCACCTTAGAAGCCAAAAAATGTTTCAGGGTATAAACTTTTGAGAGTCAAAGTTCCTTTAGTTGGACACAGATAGGAATGGAGATCCAGCTTTTCTAATCTCCCTCCCCCCTACCTCATGACCCAGTGGGAAGTTCTCCTGTGCAACAGCCTGGGCTGGGTTAGGCAAACTTCCTGTGAGCTGCTGGCCCTTTAAAGAATGCCTGTCAAGAAGAACAGTGAAATCAATCAGAAGTGACACTGCTGACAGCCAAATCCAGCTAAACTGGGACATGGTGTTACTACTGCAGGTGTCGCCGTTAGTTATGCCAGATACAGATGCATAGTAAAGCATGACCAGATAACTCCATTTATGGACCAGGGGGAGGGGGAGTTTGGAGAACGTGGAGGACTCCTGGGCCTTTTTGATTCTTCTCCCCACACCATTCCCTGGCTTTGAACCTGGGCTATTCAGGGGCCTTCCCCACCACCACCACTTTACAAATCCTTTGGCCTAATAGTGGCAACCAAGAAATCATTTTCTAGGTTAAGCAGAAATATCTAAAAGAGGGAAATGTTGTTTTATGTTGTTTTATGAAGGCCTGGCGTGATCTGGTCCATGGGGTCGCGAAGAGTCGGAAAGACTGAACAACAACAACAACCTAACTACTACTTTGCAAGATCTGGCTGAGCTGGGTGTAAGGAGAGGAAGACAGAAAGGCTAGATTATTGAAGAAAATGACCTGCAGGCTGGCAATTTCAGTAGCAGCTATCAGCGTGTAGGCTTGGTTGTTGGCCCTAGCATGATCTGTTAAGCAAATTTCCTTCAATCTTAGAGAAAGGGAAGTCTGGCTCATCCTAGAGTGCTTTTTGTTATGCTCAGACTTCCCTGTGCCCCTAGTGGCTGCAGCCAGAACTATGTCTTAAAAATAAAAGGATAGGCATTTGGCTGGATGCAGCATGATGCTGGTTTCAAGGGCCCTCCTCAAGCTGCACCCAGGGCAGAGCGCACCCCCCACCCCGTCATTGGTACACCACTCTCCCCCTCTGTTTCTCTTTCGATCTTTTTCAACTTCACATTATTTTGTACCTCCATCCCTAGTGACCTCTTCCCCCACCCCAGTCTTCTTATGCCATCTTTGTGTTTTTCCACCATCTGATCTCTAGTCCTTCTTGTTGCAGCATCACATAAGAGTCAAATTCTAGAGTTCTTTTAGCATGGCAGCAGAGTGTACTTATTTATTTATTTAGCTTATTTATAGCTTGCCTTTCTCATTACTCAAGGTGGATTACAGAGTACAGGGAGGGTGGGAAATGTAATAATACAGTATAGGACACTGAATGAACAATTCACTAGGACTAGGAGTGCAAAACTGAATGACAATGCAAGCAACAATGTGAACATGCAGTGTAAGATATACAGTCAACAGTGCAGTCGAACTAGGAATACAAAACGGAATGCCGTTGCCTGCCTCTTCCTAGTGACCCTGGACTTCTTTGTTGGTCTCCCATCCAGACACTACCTAGGGCCAACCCTGCTTAGCTTCTGAGATCTGATAAAATTGTGCTAGCCTGGACCATGCAGGTCAGGTCCACTAGGAACTGAATACAAAATTAAATAGTATGAATATCAAACTGCTCAGGCCAGCATCATGCCAGCAATACAGAATGTGGGATTATAAAGGTGATGCCATATCTGCTCCACACTCCCATGTGAAGGTGCCCTGCTGGAGGGTTCTGTCCCACCACAGATCAATTCCATTACAAGAATGCCCTCCTAAACATTTCTGTTTTGTACATTTTGCAGAATGATAGTACTGTGGGATCCTTCCTGATGTCCTTGACAAACAGATTTGTCTTATTCATACTTTCCACTGTTAAATGTAAACTTACTGTGTATATTGAAAGGGGGAGGGGAGGTATATGTGAATCGACCCTGAGGCAGTCTAGGATTCAGGCAAGCTCTGTGGTGTACCCTGATGGCTCAAGAAAGGTGTTCTACTGCCTGAGATGGCTGTTGGTGCCGCTGTCTCCACCAGAGGAGATGATCCTTTTTTCTTCTCCGTTTCCTCAGCCCTCTTTAAAAACAGTGTGACAAGTCACAGGGATTTCCGAACTCTCTCATGAGATTACTTTGTGATAATTCAGCCACCATTTTGGTTGCCCTGGCAACAAGCATCCATTTGTAAAGAGGCTTGGGGGCCAAGAAGGGTTGTTTCCTCTGGCTTCTAGTTGGAGGTGGCTGGTAGTCTGGCATCAGCAGGTTGCCATCAATAGGAGGCTGTGAGTGGGTAAGATGGGAGTTTGCCACTTCCCAGAATCTGCTGCCTCAGTAAAAAACTGGCCCTGGTGGTGAGGCAAGTTGCAAGAGGCTGGGGGGGAAATTAGACCAATTATTCTATGTGCCTTTGAATCCAGGAAGAGGAAAAGCAATGGAGATCATAATGCAGGAGTTTCTACACTGTTGAAGGGCATGTGCAGACCAGAGATTTTCCACAAGAAAATGCCTTGGAATTATCCCAGCAGGCTGCAAATAATTAAAATCGCAGCCAAAATGACTGCAGACATTGAGCTACGCAGGCCTGCATTTTGGTCTTCATTTTTCAAAACTTCCAAAGTGCTATTTAAAGTTTGTAGTATTGCAGCCATTCAGTTTGTCTGAAACCTGGGTTTTCCAAATGCTTTAGTGGTAAAAACTATAAGAATTAATTTGCTATTTTCCTACAAGAATTTTTAAAAGTATAAGAATTGTTTTGCTGGGTCAAGCACTTTGTTTCAACTGTGGTCAGCTAGATTTTAGTTTCTGTTCAAATGACTTCTGAGCGCAGCACATGCTTTTCTTCTCTACTAACAAAGAGACAATGTATGTGAAGCGTAAGGACTCTGCACTTTTTGTAAAACTGTCTATCTTTTAACAAACAATTCCATTTCACTTTCAGATTGTAGATGGCACAGCTGTTAAGGTCTTTAAGAGGACAAGTCTGTTACCAGGTATCAAAAGCCAGGAAAACTGTCTTGTGTTTACAGCTGTAATTAGGGTTGCCAGCCTCCAGGCACTGGCTGGAGATCTCCTGAAATGACAGCTGATCTCCAGGCAACATGGACCAGTTCACCTGGAGCAAATGGCCACTCTGGAAGGTGAACTCTTTGGCATTATACCCTGTTGAACTGACCCCCCCCCAAAACCCCACCTCCCTCACACTCTACCCTCAAAACCTCCAGGTATTTCCCAACTCGGAGCTGGCAACCTTAATTGTAATGGTGTATAGAGACCTTAGTTTGTAGTTGTTTGTTTGCATTTTCTGCAGTTCAGAGCTGTACTACCTATAAATATGAAAGCTCCATTTAGCTATTATATCAAACTGCTGTATCTAATAGACGTGGAGCAAGGGAACACCTGTGTGGTGGATGGGGTTGGCTTAAGAAGAAAACAAAAATCCAGTGGCACCTTAAAGAATAATACCATCTATATATCTAATTCTCAAGTCGCCCCCTGGTGTGCGGATACTTAAATCCGCACATTGGGGGGGACCTGGGGGGGAGAGGTTTGTGCGCATGTGGGGCGGTCCCCACGTGTGCACAAAAATCCTAACTCTGGAAAAAAACATCAGGGGGATGTTTAAATCCCCCCGAAACTCACAGAGCGTCCCCTGCGCATGCGCAGGGAACGCTCTGTGACCGCCGCCGCCTCTCGGAAGGTGAGCGGCAAGCC